AGTAATCAACATCCAAAGTTAATCTAAAATGTTTTTAAAAAATATCCTTAGAATAAGTGTTGTTCAATAGTTTTGGGACAATCTTGATGAAAGGGGATGATCCTTTTCAAATGTTGACTACTGTATGTCCACTTAGCATGTTTCCTCAATCAGTGTTTCCCAACCCTGTTCCTGCAGGCACACCAACAGCACTTATTTTGGAAGTCTCCTTTTCTGACCCATTAACTTCAGGTTTTGGCATCTCTTCTAATGTTCTGATGAGTTGGTGCGGGTGTGTTTGATTAGGGAGAGGTTGAACGTGTTCTGTTGGTGTGGCTTCAGGAACAGGGTTGGGAAACACTGTCCTAAATATGTAAACTGGCAGTGGGCTGGTTATAGAGACCAACACAAAGACAGACATTCTGATATGTAACGCACATTTTCAAAGCAGAATAGCTGACTTTAGCATTGTTTTTCAGATCAACGAATACAGTAGTCAACATCCAAAGTTAATCAAAAATGTTTTTAAAAATTGTCCTGAGACAAGAATGAGTGCTGTTCAATAGTTTTAGGACAACCTTAATGAGAGGTGATGATTCACTTCAAATGTTGACTTCTGTATATTCGACAAAGTAGTTTAGTTAGTAGTTTACACTGAAACAATAACAATATTGTTTTTAAAACGTCCTTGCTAGAAAAAATTACGCATTTATAGGTCCCCAAAACTCAGATTGCATGTAAATAAACAGTCAAAACTCAAAAAAGTTCCATTCTTAAGATGTTTAGTGTCTACTAAGGCACCCCCTTTGGCAATACTGGGAGTGTAATATATATATATATCAAAATGGAACCGTCCGGAATCTCAAACATGCATTTCCGCTAACACTTTTAACTTGACTATATCTGTTGAGACAATTTTAAGTTGTCTTTTCTTTACTCTTTACACAAACAGCTTACAAGTAAAATAGATCACATATTTACTACACGGTTTCAGTTTGCACCTAAAAAAGACATTTAAAATAAAACGTACAACATCCTACTGCAGAACGCAGAGTGAGATTGTACATTTCCTCAAAATACATCGATCATTTTGCTGGTCCAAAAGAAACTGCATTTCTAAACAACAAATGTCATTTGGAATAGATGAATAAGAAGTAAACAAACACTATTAACGTGCCTTAAATACCCAGCACTTTTATATTTCTCAACAACAGGGGGCAATGTAGGTCAATAGCAGAGTGTGTGCCCCCCCTCTTCTCGCCCTGCTCCCAAAAAACACCCAGACAAACATTCCCCTCATTAATGTTGGCTTCAGAACATTCTGAAGTGCTTTCAAGCAATTTGTGCGTCATATTAATCTAATGCACCGTCTCTGGTGATTGGCGTCAAGTAAAAGAGATCTTTCTGGCGTTCCATCAACAGCCGTGCTTTTATTCATCTTCCAAAAAAATAAAAAAAAGAGAGAGAGAGAGTCGAAAATGAAGATGGCTTCGCTCAGAAAAGGAAAAAAAAAGATCAAACACACGACAGCGGGAGAAAAAGACAGATAAAAGATGTTCAGCTTGTATTGACAAGAGCGTCTGAAAGAAAATTAATGTTTCTCGCTTTCATCGCGTGTTTATGTCACACCCCCCCACAACCCAACACCCCATTCCACTCCAGAGACGAGGACGGGGCCACATCTGATACTTCCAACATCCTCATGTAATGCTGAATGATAAGCTGTTTGTTGGATTTCAGAGTTAGATATACCCTGCTTCAAAAAAAAATTATAATAATATTAAATAATAATAAAAATGCATCTGTCTTTTGGCACAATGTTGTCAGCACTATTACCCCTCCAATTTGTGCTCAGATGCCCCCCTCCTCTGCTCTGACTAAAATCCAATTTACTGGCTGTCAGCTCAACCCAGTAATCCTCTGCACAGCTGTGTTTGTGGAAGGAGCCTCTTAATTTGCTCGTCCTCCACGTTTCTAAATGTACCATTGCCATATCTGAAGCTAAACGTTAGCTTAGGCGATTTGTCACCTGTTTATGAAGGCGTGATGAAGGAGACTCTTTTTAGGTTCTGCTAGGTGAGAAAATAAGTCCAACGCGGAGCTAGCAAATTGCTAACTTCAACTAGCGAGTTGCTATTTACAGAGCAGTGCGTAGCATCCTTGCTAGATCATTATAGACACTAGCATGGCTGCAACTAGCAAGTTGCTAACTACAGAGAAGTGCGTAGCAGCCATGATAGCATCTATAAAGATCTATCATGGCTGCTGTGTTACTTCAATGTTACAAATGTTATTAGAATTTGTAGGCTATATGTACAGTTACTCACTAGCCGAATAATCAAAAGTGCCCCCAAAGAACCTGATAAGCTACAATACAGCACATTTGCATGTTTTTATCTAATTTATATAAAAAATTTAAGCACAAACTAATGACAGCTGATTTTGGTGATCAACCTTTTAAAGTACAGACTTAATGGAGTTCAGAAATATCATTGGATACATTCACAACAGATTATAATGCTATCTATCTATCTATCTATCTATCTATCTATCTGTCTATCTATCTATCTATCTATCTATCTATCTATCTATCTATCTATCTATCTATCTATCTATCTATCTATCTATCTATCTATCTATCTATCTATCTATCTATCTATCTATCTATCTATCTATCTATCTATCCATCCATCCATCCATCCATCCATCCATCCATCCATCCATCTATCTATCTATCTATCTGAATTCACTTCCAATGCTATACCTCTGCAACAGGTGAGAATTGTAAACGCTAAGCTGACGTTATGACGTAGCATGTAAAGAAGTAAAACGCAATTTACTTATCAATTAAATTATGTTTCGATACAAAATTTAGCTTTTTACAATGGAGGGATGACTGCGCCGGCTGATTGTATCCCTGGTCATAGTATACTATAAAGTTTGTATACATCACTTTAGACAAACTATACATTTTAAGAGTTCACACTTATAGCTGATAATCAATAGAGCGCAGTTGGCATGCTGTCCCGGGAGAGAGCCCTGAACTCATATAATCCTCGAGCCCAGGGCTCCCATCCCGTTAGGTAGGTCTCCAGAACTCCCCTGCTTGTCGCCATGTGAGAAGGGCAAACTAAGGTAGTCTTGGGTGATAATTTGGTTTAGGTGATTGGCTATGGTGTAATGTTTTAGACGGTGGGAGGAAACAACTGGAGTGTAAATTTTTGGTTGTTAATAATGCTTCCGGATTTATCTAATAGAGCAGTTTTCAGTGCTAATGAGGTGCCAGCCATGTTGATCATAAGCATGTGATCCTCTTGAAATGAGTTTTTAAACAAACCATAGATTCGAGAATGAAGCGCAGCTGCGGCAGTTTTAATGCATTGTAAACAGCGAAGGTACATTGCAAGTCACTTCAGGAGGAGACGTGAATTAATTTAGCTAAACCGCAACATGGTCATCTTCCGGAAATATTATCAACGGTCCATCAGGTAATGTTTTTCCCTCTCTCTCTCTGTTTAAAACAGCTGGAAATGCGCTGTCAACAAATACTTTTCCTCCACATTTAATAATGCACAGCACATCGACTACGGCAGCTGGATTATTGCAAAAAGGTGGAGTTCTTTTTGTGGTTGGTTCTGTTCTAGTTACGGATTATATTCTCACCACAAATTAACCGCCCCAGGGTTCGTTTGAAAGTGTACCACTTGAAGGTGGTCTCTGCACACATTTTTGGTTCACTTTTGGTGAGCACTCAAGTGCGATTGCTGCATTCACAACTGCCTAAACAAACAGCACCAAGAGGGAAAACAAACTCTAGTGAGATTCAATTGAACTAAATAGGGCAGGTGTGAAAACATCTTTAGAAGTGCATATTTAGACCTAAAAATTAATATTTTCCCTGACTTTCCAAAGCAGACTGACATCCATGCACTCTCTCATTTACACTATGGCCAATTTAGTTTATTCGATTCGCCTTTTCCGCTTGTCATTGGCATGTGGGGGTAACCGGAGCACCCGGAAGAAACCCACGCCAACACAAAACTCATATTCACTAGCTGAAATAAAATAAAACAGCTTATCAGCATACTGATCCTCAACTCAAGTAATGTGCATATAATATTTGTCAAGAAGTACTTTTAATGTGAGACGACGACGAAAATTATGATAAAATATTTACTTATATTTCAGTGCATCTGGTTTAGCAATGTCCTTGTTTAGTTCGGTGAAAAACAGAAAAAGTCCCAAAAAAAATGACCCACATATAAACACTAGCAAACTTCGCCACAAGCTGCATGCACTATCATCCAGCACTGTTTCAGCGTGTGTGGGTTGTGGCTCGGGTCTGGAACAGTGAATTATAGAGACAGTGTCATTGCCACCGAGCGGAACACTGCACCATCTCTGACACAGGAGATAAAAGTCACTGCCAACCTGTGGGAGCCACAGCAACCACCCTGCCTGCCTTCCTGCACGCCGCTCTCGGACCATTTGCATTTGCCACGGACGCTCTGCATCTCATAAATGGTAATGAGGGCGTATTTTTTCCCCTCGTACCAGGCCGCCAGTTACTGTGGGATTGTCCGTACGCACGTCTTCCGCTGCCCCCCGCATGTCTGTGATATGAAAATGAGTGTGAATGATAAGCCCCTAGGGGTCGGGTCGACTCCTACAATTAATCTTGGCATTTAGGAGGGAAATTCACCTATGCCTAGCAGTACATGAATATATGTATATCTTTCCACTCCATATGGAGGAACTAACTACAGGGATACGTTCTCCCCAACAGTATATTCCCTAAAACTGATGAATATTAGGTTCCGACGGCTATTCAGCCTCCACCGTACCAAAGGAACCGATTCGTGCTATAAATAACCAGGTGATGATTTTCCTATTGGAATATTCTGAGTCATCCTGGGGACGTGAGCGAATAGCATGTGGGTGCACGTGGGTGGCAATGAGATCATCAAAAAGTGTCGGGCCGGAGGTGCCCAAGTTGCCCCGAAGGGGGGAAGGCTACTCACCGCATGTGCGTAGGTGCTGTAGGTGCTGAAGGGCAGGGCGATGGCAGGGTTGAAGATGCCAAACTGGCCCACCATCTGCTGCATGCGGCGGATGGTGCGCTCCTTGTCCGTGTCGGCAAACTTGACCACCAGGCTGGACGATGCGCCCTGAGGGAGGAGAGAATCGGAGCCAGTCTGAGGAGAGAGGGCAGGCTACGTTTAACCTCCCGCTTTGTAAGCGAGACCTCTGACCATCACAGAAAATACAACTCAAAATGTACAGATGTTATTCTGAATGATGGTGCAGTCACATTAGAGAGCTTCCAGTGAAATTTAGCTGCAAAAAAGGTCAACACGTGTTCTCAAGCAAAGCAACTTTGTGTTGGTCACTGCTGTTATAGCAATAGCCGACTTAAACATTGGCAAATTTTGCAGGGGCAACTTTGCATTGGTATTACAATTGAAATCATTTCTCTCATACTAAATTTCACCAACAAATGTGACCACACCTTTATTGTAATGCCAGATTCAGACTACATCATATTTTTGTTTGTTACGAAAGTCACTGTGTCACATTAAACAGTTTAGATTGGTCAATTCTTAAGATTGTCAACGAATGTAATGAATAAGAAGTCGGAACTGGGGGCTGTTCCATAAACCAAGCTTAGAGTAAAAGGCTTATTTTGGTAAGTCAGGTTTATTAATGGTGGATTCTGTTTCATTAATTAAAATTACAATAGTTTAAACTCAGCTACCATAGCAACTTATGCTGGGAAGCTAGCCTGGTTCGGGGCAGGTTAACTCTTAGGCTAAGTCAAGCTTAATCAAAGTAATGTTAACATTTGTCTGCTGTAATTTGATGCCATTTTAATTCACTTATCCTCTTAATAATGATTAAAACTTTAGTCACTTAATAGGAAACATATATACACCAAACATCTCTTAGAAGAGAACAATATATACATTTAAATTAAGTTATTAATAAGTTACTGCAAACAGAACAAATACAAACTACAACATTTTTATAATTTTTTTAATGTTTATGTATATTTTTTTATGTTTATTAAAATTTTACTTAACATTTTCCCTCAACATAATAATTTGGGTGTACTAATTTTTGGACTGTGATCTTCAGTTTGTTAGTTGTTAGATTAGTCCAAAATTTTGCTTTGGAACTGAATAATCTAATGTATATGCACAAGCATTTTATTATATAGCATTCTGTAGAACATATTAATTTAAAATATTGATCTGTGAGGGGTGTACTTAGCTATTTATGTAGTATGAATTACAAAATACTAAAGAAAATATATTAAGAGAAAGCACTGACTGATATAAAGAAATACACTACATTTCTTAAAGAATGACTTTAAAGCTGAATAATCAGGTGATAAATCTGGGCAGAGCAGTAGCCTTACTTATTTCTAAAGATATTTACCCACAGGTCACGTGAAACACACGTGTCAAAGGGAAAGCAGCATTCTGTAGAGGTTTCGATAGCAAATTAAAAATCCCGTCGCCATTATTTACATTTTTTTGTGCTGAAGTTAAGCACATTTTGTGTGTTACTGTTAGTCTGCAATGCATTAAAACTTTTTCTATAGCAAGCAACAGGCAGAAAGCGCCTATTCTTTGTAGCTCTCTCTCTCACTCGCACGCAGTCAAGCGCAATTTCAATGTATTGCGACGCGGCTCACTCGCTATGAACAGCTGAGTCTTATTTCAGAGCTCTTTTAGTTCTCATTGTTGCCTTGGTAGCACACAACGTAATCAATGCATCTATGCTCGACCTCTAAGGTTTTATGACAATAACGTGCACGAGATGTTATTATCTAGATTATTTTAACTGAACTGATTAGCTAGATCAAATGATCTTCAACTTGCTGTTATGGAACCAGTTTAAGCGTGAACGTTTAGTTCGGCTCATTGAAGTCGTGTTTTTGACTTTAATCCTCTCATTTCTTAACCAGTTTTATGAAACAGCCCCCAGGTGACTAACATCTCAAAACCTAAATGTAAACACGCAATGGCTACCAGGGTACCATGCTTTCATCATTCTGTCAAGGTAGCCACTATCAAAGAAATTGTTTAAAGGCAAGAATATAGCTTCATGAACTTTCCTTAAATTCATCTCTCTTCATTTTCGCATATTGCTCAATGTCCCAGATGTGATGGAACCCATCACAGAGGATCAAAAAATGTAAACATAGTAGTCGTTTCTGTTGGGAGGTTGTAAAGCATCACAGATGTGACATCAGAAGTACATTGTGACGTTCTTTATGAAATAAAACTTGATTTTAAGCTTTGGTACAAATTTTTGTTTACATCTCAGAATGACTTTTTTGTCAAATAAATTGTGCCAAAGTCTGGCTGACATCTTGTAGTCTGAATCCAGCATAACGCATCATAAAACCGAAGGGTAATATTTCAAGACATAAATTGATGGGACCTAAAAAAAAGAGATTTCACCAAAAACTGAGCTTTTACAATATTCTACTGCACAAAATTAAAAAAAAAAAAAAAGGTTAACTATAACACTATAGTTGACAGTAATCTGTTAAAATGCATGTTGGAATGTTATCTTCTGCTTTTAAAGCACAAGCTCTGTTCTGATTGCATGATGCTTTAATCAGTCACCACGATGAAAAAAAAAAAAGATTTTTGCTTGTTGTTCAAACTGCTTATTTAAATTGAGCTAAACCAACACAATTCTTGCGGTTTTTTTTGGCACAACTTAATTGTTTTATGTTACAATTAAGTTAACTTAATCCATTTGTGTTGAAACAGCTTGAAGGAAATGTGTGGAACGCAGCATTTTTTACAGTGTACCTTTGTTTTATTTACCCAGTATAGTGTAACAATTCTACTTAGCACATTTACAGTATAAGATAAGAAATACTTGATTAATTCATTTTTGAATGATTCTTCCTCTGGTGGTTGGATCATTTCATGTACAGTATTTTGTTCACAAACCAGCCTGGGGTGCGTTTCTGAAAACCATAGTTAGCCAACTAAGGTTGCAAGTTCTGTCGTTACAAACAAATCATTCATTTGCCGTTTCAATCGTACCAACAGACATTCGCAAACTGCGCTGCAAACTTCTACTTCCTCTAGAGCAGTAGTTTGAAGCATAGTTCCTGCTTGTGTTCTATTCCCAGTTATCCCCCTATGTTTATATCTTTCAAATGTTCCAACATTTAAACTTGGAATAATTTAAAAACAAAAACAATAAAGTAAACTCACTCAAATGTCATTTTACTTTCAAAATATTTTTTTACAGTTCAGTTACACTTTTTTAGTGATCTTTAAATTGACAATTTTCCTCCATTCATGGTGCACTTTGAAAATATTTATGCCATTTTGAATGCAGCCATGGCTCATGACGAAAGCTATAGGTGACCTATGATTTAAAAAGCGGAATCAACATTACGTCTCCAAAGCTATATATACACATAAATATATATATATATATATATATATATATTGTACGTCAATAGTTTTAATTTATAGAAGGCTATTTATTAAGAAATGTTTGTGTACTGTATATGACATGCACCCCAGAAAATGCATCCCAGAATGATTCAATCATTAATTCGACTCATTCAATTTTCAAATTCAATTCACTGATTCAATGCTCTGGTCAAAGCTTATTGTAGGGGGATTCAGTTATTTTCAGCCATTCAATGACATTTTGACTTTTTCAGTTGCTTATGTTGATCCATTTACCATGTGCAAAATAGCAGTTCAAAAAGAATGATATGAGTGAATTAGACTGTGATTTTGGAGTGAACTGTCACTTTAAGTCAAGTTAAGTCAAGCCAAGCCAAGCTTTATTGTCATTCCACTACAAGTGTGGAAATACAGAGGAATGAAATGTCGTGTCTTGCAGAACAACGGTGCTACATAGATTAATCATAAATACAAACACAACACTGGACAGAAGAGCTATTTAAAAAACAAAACATAACTAACATATTATATAAGGTAGAAGCAAGCAGTGCAACAGGATTGTGGTACAATATAGTGAACTAAGAATGATCAAAAACTATGACTTCACATTAAACCGACATTGACTTTTTCACTTCAACCTCTCACAATACAAACGCTGTCCTGATGTATCATAAATACAACAAATAATCTCAAAAATGGCCTCCCCCCAAAGATCCTGTTCGACAACGTCTCAACATTAAACCTCAGTCAATCAAACCAACACATCTACAAAACTCAGTTGATCGTTACATAACAAAATCTATTTCAGATTTCGGTTATGATATTGCTCCTGAAATATCAAACAGATTATCCATAGAACGTGGGTGTGTTTGGAGATTGACAAGGCCACCAGTGATCATGTTCTGACCTTGGACGTGTGGGTTTCTAAGTCTGGCTCGCTCGTTCTCTCTCGTACCGTGGTAATGAAACACCTGCCGTGAAAAGCCGCGCTCACATTCATTATGAATCTCTCAATGATTCGATGCTACACTTGACCTTTATCAGGCTACAACATCCTCTGTTCCAGCACTATACCGTCCGAACAGAGAGAGAGAAAGAGAGAAAAAAAAACACAGAATCGATTTTGGCAAAAAGGCTGAAATATGACTGTGATCTGACGGTAGAGAAAGGTTGTGCATCAGCTGAGATAAGAGGCTAGCTGAAATTGATGTGAAAATGTCGATAAGCAGCCACAATATGGGAAAATATCAGGTGAGGACACATGCCATCCGTACGGTGAAATAGGATCGTGCTTTAGGCCTTCAAATGGTGGATTGTGACCCAAAAAATGGTCTGCATTTCTAAACAAACAACAAAAAAGGTTGCACACTATACTATAGCTAGACTTTCTTTGCTTTCAGAGTAAAGTTATTTCTATATTTCAGTAATCATAATTAAGAAACTAATCAAGAAAGTGTTCTTGCAGGACTCCCAGAGTTCATCAAGATTCCTTGGATTCCTCTTCAATGCCTCCTCCTTCATCATATCCCAGACATGCTCAATAATGTTCATGGCTGGCCAATTCTAGGGCACTTTGACCTTCTCTGCTTACAGGAACTTTGATGTGGAAACTCAAGTATGAGGCCTGTTTAACACTGCAAGTTGCAAGCATACAGTACTGTATGCTTCTCAAGCTCTATGAGGACTGTCATTCATGTCTGGTGCACTCAAAAGACAAT